CCCGGCCCTTGGGGCAGGGGCAGAGGCGCAGCCGGCGCGGAGGCAGAGCCGGCACCGCGTACCAAGCACAAACAGCTGTGGCTCACAGCAATTACCAGGCCTGGATGTTTTCCACTGGTTCATTAGCATCTGGCAGGACCTAAAGTTCCAGGGTCACAAAACACAGAGCTATTATTTTATTTCAGGAAAATGCACAGCGGCATCCCTCGAGAGCTGTCCTTTTGTAATCAAAGGACAAGTGCAGCGCAGGGAATGGAGAGGGGGAATTTGCAGCCATCACATCCCCCAGCCGGGCAGGGACGAGCCCATCACGCCCCAGATGGCTCATTTTGTGTCGCGCTGTTGAAAGCCCCCACATCAGCACCCACAAACAGCCCCTGGCAGCAGCAGCAGAGCCCGGTGATTCCTTACAGCACTGACAGCTGCGTGGCTTTGCACGAACACACAGTACACACCAGCTTAAGTTTTCAACACTTCATTCATCTTTGCAGTAGGACAAAACACACCATTTATTTCAAACCTGCAGCGTCAGCACTTTCTCTGAACTGTTTTTGGCTCTCCTGTTTTACAGAGCTATAGTCTTCATGGTGTGTGATACAACAGCTTCACTCCTGTTTGCCAATTCATCCTAGGGACGTGATGCCAGACCAACGCCAGAGCGGATGGGGATCCACCCCTGAAGTGCTGCACTCACCTCCAAACCCTGCTAGCCACACCTTCTCCTTCAGTCACCCATCAATAACATGAAATAACATACTGTTCCTTTTCATGTGACCCCAAAAGGGCAACCATGCTTTGGTAGAATATTCACAATTCTCCCAGAATAATCATATTTTGATTATTCAGCAGGTTTTGCCATACTCTAATAAACCATTTCACCTGTGAGACAGTGCAGAAAAGAATTGAAATAACCTCCTTTTTAACAGACCATTGGTTCTAAGCCTTTTAATACACCCTAATGTATATTTAGATATCGATTCACGTTCATTTCAATTATTCCCCATGACAAAGCTGATCACACACTGATGCAATGAGCAGTGTAACAGTGAGTACTGAGCTGGTTTTTAAGTCTCCTAACAGCAGTAGGTATCTCCTCTTCTCTCTGGCTTTGGGTTTGTTGGTAAGGCAGACTAACATCTTGGTGCCACAAGGGAGGGGGAGAAGGAGCAAATCAGGCACTATTTCACCTATTTTCACTATTCCCTAAGGCAGCAGAAATGCCTTGAAGAACCCACTTGCACAGCAGAGCCAGTTCTGGAGGAAGCTAAAGAGCCCTGACCCTCATGCCAAGCAAAAGCAATCTCTGTGTGTGTGTGCAGGGGGACTAAAGCTAAAGCAAGATGGTGCATTTGCAGCAGGGACTACATCCAAGATGAATTACAGCCATTCCTGTGTTCTTGGCACTACGAGAGCAGAAAATCATCTCCCTCCCTATTATCATAATAGCTTTCACACTTCCCAAGCAGCAGAGTGAAGTGTGGGGATGCTGAAAGAAATAGCACATAAACAACAAACAGAAAGTTTAGATACATAGGAAGATCCCATCTCCAGAAAATGTTTACAGCAATTTTTATAATTAGCCTGGAGAAGGCAACTTGGAATAAGTACAAATAAAAAGGATTTTGAAACATTTTTCACAGTTCAGAATGGCTCCTAGTGTAGCAGCCAAAGCAGTGACCCTTGGGAGATTAAATGAAGCTGAGAGCAAAGCCTGTGGGATCCGCAAGCCTACTAAGAAAGTTTTTCCCAAATTCAGAGAACTGCAGAGTAACTTGGATTCTATAAATTAAGTACAAATGCTGAAGCTCCTGCCTGCTTCTGATCATGCCCAGCACTCCCCCAGCTCTAAGCCAGCAAACACCCAGCTCACGTCCAAGGACCCAGATTCCACAGCAGCCTTTCTGCTTTAACCCAGACCACC